AGCCAGTTAGAGACATGCAAGATCTGAGGACTGTTTTATCTCTAAAATAGCTTTGACAAAGAAGAAGCCCTGACGCCGAGGCGATCAGGCTTCTAAGGGTGGTCCCCTCTGGGGTAGGGACGGTTTTGAGAAATCGTTTCTCCTCAGCGCCCTTTGGGGTGCGACTCTCTGAGGAGGGTCGCAGTACTGCCAGTTCGGTTTCCCTGCCGGTTCGCCGTTTCAGGGCACCAAGGTGTCAGTGTCCCCAAACGAGCCTTCAAATAAGAAAAAAGAAGAGCAGTCAGTTCGGTTTCCCTGCCGGTTCGCCGTTTCAGGGCGCCGAAGTGCCTGCTTTTTTCAACGATCCTCCGAGGAGGGTCGTAGGAATTAAGCTAGTTAGAGGTAGGCAAGATCTGAGGACTGTCATCATCTCTAATAAAGCTTAGACAAGAAGTCCTGTCGCAAGAAAACGAGGCTATCAGGCTTCTGAGGGCTCCTCCGGGGCAGGGATGGTTTTGAGAAATCTTTTCTCCTCGGCGACCTCTGGGGTGCGACTCTCTGAGGAGGGTCGCAGCGCTGCCAGTTCGGTTGTTCCCTGCCGGTTCGCCGTTCAGGGCACCGAGGTGTCAGCGTCCCCATACGATCCTCCGAGGAGGATCGTAGAGCGGTCAGTTCGGTTGTTCCCTGCCGGTTCGCCGCTTCAGGGCACCGTAGTGACTGTTCAACCAAGGGACGGTTTTGAGAAATCGTTTTTCCTCTGGGGTGCAACTCTTTGAGGAGGGTTACAGCGCTGTCAGTTCGGTTGTTCCCTGCCGGTTCGCCGTTCAGGGCACCGAGGTGTCAGCATCCCCATACGATCCTCCGAGGAGGGTCGTAGAATGGTCAGTTCGGTTGTTCCCTGCCGGTTCGCCGCTTCAGGGCGCCGTAGTGACTGTTCAAACAAATCCAGAGGCCAGTCTTGAGAGACTGGTTCCCCTAGTAAATTTCTGGCAGCGTGGAAACTACTGCCACATATTTCTCAGTGGGTCCTGCACACTATAGAAAAGGGTTTCAGAATTCAGTTCGGTTCTCGTTCGCCCAGATTTCTAGGGATCCTCCTCTCATTGGTGGACCCCGAGCAGGCTTTGGTTATGGAGCAGGAAGTACTGTCACTTCTGCAAAAGGAGCTGTAGAAGGGGTTCCTCCTCCCAGCAGACAGCCATTACTTCATTGTTTCCGAAAGAGGATGAGGGAGGTTCCTGAGGTTTGCTTTCGGGGGCGAAGCATACCATTATCGGGTTCTTCCATTCGGCCTAGGTTATTACCCCACACCTTTACAGTATGCGTGGATGCAGCTCTGGCTCTTCTGAGACTCCAGGGCATTCGCGTATTATACTACATCAATGATTGGTTGTTCCTAGCTCAATCTGAGTTTATGGCAGTTCGGCATCGAGATGTCGTTCTGTCTCATTAAGGATGTTGGGGTTGCCTCTCAACGCCAAGAAGAGTGTGCTCTGAGGACCACTTTTCTAGGTGTAGCAATTCTTACAGCCGTAATGGGGTATATCTAGGCCAGTCACTCACTGTGAAACAGTTTCAGACGGGTGGGTCTCATGGCAGTTGCGTCCAACGTATTACTTTTGGCCTTCTGTTCATGAGACCCCTGCAGTGGTGGCTCAGGATCAAGGGGTTTTCTCCGAGGGGAAATACGTTTTCGCATGATCAAGGTCACGCGGCTATGCCTTCGTGCTTCGGTCATGTGGAAGAACCTTGGTTCCTCGCCCAGGCCCAGTGTTGGGGGCTTCTTGTCGACGCATATTGCTATCGACGGATGCTTCCCTCACAAGTGGGGGCGATCATGAGTGGTTGCTCGGCGAATGGCGGACAACACACTGATGGTCTCGTATATCAGAGCAGATATCCTGTTGAGGCAGGGGCTGAGGCCCAGGGGATTGGAGACTTCACCCCGAGGTGGTGGAGCTTCTTAGGGAGAACTTTGGTCTAACTAAAGTCAAGTCGACCTTTCACATCGTTTGTACAACGCATTGCTCTATATGGTTCCCCCTCACGCAGCCAGCTCTTCTCGGACTGGATGCGATGGTGCAGGTGTGGCCGAGGCTGCACCTGTACGCATTTCCCCCGATATCTATGCTCCCGGAGGTTCTGGAGAGGGTTCGCCGGGAAGGGGCTCATCTGCTACTAGTAGCCCCATACTGGCCGACTCGAGTTTGGTTCTCGGACTCTGTCTCTTCTGGACGGCTCTCCCATGGAGATTCCGTTCAGGAGGGACCTGCTGTCCCAGGCAGGGGGCACGATATTTCACCCTCGACCGGAGTTGTGGAAACTGTGGGCCTGGCCTCTGAGGGGGCCAGGCTCATAGAATCCAGTCTCTCGACTGAGGTCGTTGAGACATTCTCCATTCCAGAGCTCCTTCCACGAGAAGACTGTATGCACTGTAATGGAAATTATTCTCCACCTGGTGTGGTGAGCGTCAGTTAGATCCTGTTAACTGCCCTGTTGGTTCAGTTCTCGATTTTCTGCAAGACCGTTTCTCTGCTGGATTATCTCCTTCCACCTTAAAAGTTTATGTGGCGGCTATTTCGGCCTATCATACCCCTCTGGGGGGTACTTCTATTGGGAGAGATCCTCTGATTACTCGTTTTCTCCGTGGTACATTGAGGTTGAGACCTGCACTGCACTCTAGAGCACCGGCTTGGGATTTAGCCATTGTACTTGAGGGTCTGGCTCTGGCTCCCTTCGAGCCTATTGAAGAGGTTTCAGAAAAATTCCTCACTTTGAAAGCTTTATTTCTCCTTGCTATTTCATCTATCAAGAGAATTGGAGATTTGCATGCCCTGTCGGTTGCTCCGTCATGTCTGGAATTTGCACCTGGTATGGTGAAAGCATTTCTATACCCTAGACCGGGTTATATTCCTAAGGTCCCAGTTAATGTTGGGGGCCCAATAGTGTTGCAGGCCTTTTATCCTCCACCTTTTAATACCCCAGATCAGGAACAACTGAACCTGTTATGTCCAGTTCGGGCATTGGATGCCTACGTTCACAGAGCTGCCCTGTGGCGTAAGTCAGAGCAGTTATTTGTATGTTTGGGTCACTCAGAAGAGGGTGCCCTGCATCTAAACAGGTTATGAGCAAATGGATAGTCGAGGCTATATCATTGGCTTATGAAGCGGCCGGTCAGCTTTCACCTATGGCTGTACGGGCCCATTCTACAAGGAGTATGGCGGCCTCTACGGCCTTAATTTCGGGAGTTTCCCTTCTTGGCATTTGTAATGCGGCAGGTTGGTCCTCTCCATATACATTTGTCAGGTTTTATGACCTTGACCTCTCCACTCCTGGGGCGAGGTTGCTTGCTTCTTAGTGTGCGCAAGGACTTCACACAGAACGGGCATTTGTCACTATGGCGTAGTTGGTATGGGGTTCCCACCGCGTCTCAAACGCAGCTCGAAGTTCCCTTGAAAGGGAACGTCTCAGGTTACGTATGTAACCCTGGTTCCCTGAGAGGGAACGAGACGCTGCGTTTGCCTACCATACTTCCTGCATGCCCTGATCGACTTGCTTCAGACTTTTTCAGAAGCTGTCGCGGTCTGTTTTCAAGGGTGCTTTATAGTTTCCTGGTCTATGACGTCACCCATGACGTATCGGGCTTCCATTGGACTGATTTTACACGTGCTTCATGACGCAATCACGCAGAGCGTTCCCACCGCGTCTCAAACGCAGCGTCTCGTTCCCTCTCAGGGAACCAGGGTTACATACGTAACCTGAGACGTTTTGCTGTGTTTCACAGATGTTAGCTATAGTAACAGGACAGTTTGGAGTGTCATTGTTTGTCTGGAGCTGCTGTGCTGCTGGCGACTAACAACCAACTCTTGCTCTTGTAGATACTCGTGTACTGTATGTTCATTTTTTGTTCTTACTTGTCATTCATTCATCATCTTCTCTTTGTTTTTCACAAAGCATTATTTTGCTTCGCTTCAACTATGATAAACAGTCATCCACTCTTACAATTCATGTTCATTCATTTTAGAGGCGGAGCAATAAAGGGAGGGGTGTGTTTGTTTGGGCTGATTTCAAATATCAAGAGTGTTTCTCATAAATCGCTTACTGCACCTTTAACTGAAAACTCTGTGAAGATCTAAAGGATGTATGCGGCTGAAGATGTTCAGTCATATAACTCTGTTTTTAAGGGTTTGAATGGCTTTGGACACAAATATATAAATCTTATATATTGAGCCAATGGAGGAATGCTAACACAACCCCCGAAAATCAACACGCAGATTCAGCCACTGAAACGCATTTTGTAATATAATTATTTAATTTAAATATCTATTTTTTTTCTTCATATATTTTATGGATTTTTGAAGAAAAGGTGAAGAAAATATTTAACATATTTAAAGGTTATAGGGTACTTTCTGGCCAAATTCAAAATAGCCCACCCCCAAGTTTCACCGATGTTATATATCTGCCAAAGCGGAATAAGCAGTAGTTATCACTATACACTACCGGTCAAAATTGTGAAATAATAAAGATGTTTAAATCATCTTTTGCCAATTAGGCTGCATTTCATTTATCAAAAATACAGTAAAAACATTAATAATGTGAAATATTTTTACAATTTTAAAGAACTGTTTTCATTTTCAATATATTTCAAAATGTAATTTATTCCCGTGAACGAAGCTGAATTTTCAGCATCATTAGTCGAGTCTTCAGTGTCACATGATCCTTCAGAAATCATTCTAATATACCGATTTGATGAGACATCTTTCAAAAACATTAAAAAAATCTTAATTACTCCAAACTTTAGACCAGTGGTGATTGTTTATTCTAAAACGCCCACAATAACCCGATCTATTGCTTAAAGTCCTAATAAATAAGTCACGAGTCTATATCCCGTCTTTTGTCTTCGGTACATGCGCACACACACACACACACACACACACACACACACAGCACAAGTCTGTTGTGAGACACATGGCAGGCAAGAGAGCGAGGGTCAAGTGACAGGGTCATGTTCCACAACTCACCACCGCCAGCTCTGGTGACACCGGTTGCCCACCCAGACTTGGAGACACTGCGAGGGTTTGAGGAATGGAGTACGGCACTGTGAACAGGTTGTTTGGTGCACTGACGTGATGGGCCGAGGTGGCAGGTCTGGATGAATCGTCACTGTCCTCATCAGCTTTGATCTTCTCACTAGGTCTCTATACACGTGATGAAGAGCGGAAACATTCCGATTTTTTACGTTTTTGAATCAAGTTAAGTATCTCATACTCACCAAAGCTGCATTTATTTGATCAAAAATACAGTAAAAACTGTAATATTGTAAAATATTATTACAATTTAAAAGAACAATTTTCTATTTGAATCTGTTTTAAAATATCAAAAAATTTTCCTGTATTGCAAAGCTGCATCATTACTCCAGTCACATTATCCTTCAGAAATCATTTTATTATGATGATTTGCTGTTCAAGAAACATTTCTGATTGTTATCAATGTTGAAAACAGTTATTTTTGTGGAAATGGTGATACATGTTTATTTATTTTTTTCAGGATTCTTTGATAAATAGAAAGATGGGGGAAAACTGCTTTTTGAACAGAAATCACTTTTGTAACATTATCAATTTTATCACTGCTACTTTTGATCACTTTAATGTGTCCTTGCGTAATAAAAATATGCGTTTGTTGTAAAAAAATAAAAAAATAAAATCGTACATATGCTTAAAATTCAGCTTTGATCACAGGAATAAATTACATTTTAAAACATATTCAAATAGAAATCTGTTATTTTCAAATTGTAATACTATTTTACAATATTATGGTTTTTACTGTATTTTTTGTTCAAATAAATGCAGCCTTGGTTAGCATAAGAGAGTTCTTTAAAAACAACAATATTTTTTTTACAACTTTTGACCAGTAGTGTATATTAATGTCTTCTTGCTTTCTCTTTCCATTCTCACCCTCCTCCTGAACTGTGAGCACACTTCATATTAAACTTCAATATTAACAGAAATCCCGAAAGCACAGAGTTACTAATCTTAGGAAAATGCTGATACCAGGTGAATGAGCATCAACGGATCTGAACTCACGTCTTGGCTTCTCTTCACTTCCTCTTGAAGAAGCTCTATGTAGCTCAGTCTGGAGTGCTGCAAACTCTTGATGGTTTGCAGAAGGTCCTGATAATCCGTCATGACTGCTTTACATGCACTGTACTATTGCATGCAGATTCGATTTCGCACATGGCATTAACAACATGCCCAGTAAGATGCCTTCCAGTTAATGTGGTACCAAACCCACACAGCTCTCCTCCAGTCTGCGAGACTGAGTTTGTTGAGAGGATGGCAGTCACAAAGGCACATGCATACACTCGTCTGATTGGCTGACTGCATGTCATGGGAGAAATGACATGCAGCCACCTGAGAGCACAGTGTCGGCAGTATCAATTATGGAAAAATCACACGGAACCACATGAGAAGGACGTTGACACAGGGTACGTTACATTTCCGATTGCAAGACTTAGGGGATATTCACACAGATACGTTCTGCATTAAAAACCAACTGCATGGAGCACAACAGAATGTATCAGAACACAAGTATTAAGACACATTTTTAAATGTTTAAAAGGAACAGTTCACCCCAAAAACAAAATTCTGTCATCATTTCCTAACACTTGTGCCATTTTAAAAATGCATTACTTTTTTTCTCTCTCAAAGAAAAGAGGCTACATTTCATAGAATGTCATTTATATTCCAATGTATACCATCCCAGCTTACAAAAATGTTCTAAAAACGTTTTGCTAACATCCCATTAAGTTATGAAAATGTTATTTCTGAATGTTCTGAACGTCCAGTTTTTAAAAAACGTTTTTTTTTTTGTCTTGGTATGCAAACGTTAAGGGAATGGAACATTCCCTTTTATCATTTTGCAAACATTATGGGAACGTTCCTTTGAAATGTTCTCTAAATAAAGGTTTACACTTTATTTTAAAGTGACAATTCCATTGTAGCCTACTCAAATAAGTACGGAGTAATATTATTTACATGTATAGAGTTTAGGATTACTTGTAATTATTATACATAATTTGCTGTTCTTACTATAGTAAGTAGCCTACATGTAGTATGTCATTTTAAAATAAAGTGTTACCAAACAAAATGTAAAAAAAAAAGCTTTCCATGAACAATGTTTTGTGCTAACGTTGAGAACAGGTTAAAAACCACATAACTTATTAGAACAACGTTTAATAACTTATTACAGTTACTGAAATAATGTAGGCTACATTACTTTAAGAAAACCTTATACTTTGAGAAACACTTTTATGTTGATATTTCTTTTTGCTTGACATCTTCAGTCACCATCAATTAATGCATGGGAAAGATTGGCTACATCTTCAAACTTTTTCTTTTTGTTTCAGAAAGGCAAGTCATAACTATCTGAAATGACATTAGGGGGGAATAAATGATGACAAATGTGTCATTTTGTAAACCGCTTGCCGTAGAAAACGAAACGCTTAGCGTAAACGAAATTCACCAGTCACGCCAATAAGGCATCCTGTGTATGACGTCTATTAGAAATAGAAAACAACAAACAACGGCAGACTTACTTTAACATAGCCTTGTTGCAAGTCCAACCTGTAAGGTAAAAACAGGTTAATGGATATTCTCTGGGCAGCAGAAGGAGAGAGAGCCCGCGCGTGTCCTACCCTACCCGCGGGAGTTAAAGATTTCTCTCCATTTATCCATTTCCGCGATCTGCTGGAGGATTTCATTCAGTTCACCGCTCGCGTCCACATCAGCGTTCATCTGCAGGTGACAGGAAACATCGCTTCAAGTCACTTTCCTGACTCGAGTTCACTAGGATTCCAGGTCAAACAGTCTCACGGCTCCCCCGGGTTCACACAACAAAAGAATAAATAAGTGAGACAATCGCCCGGTTGCGTACAGACCGAACGCGTTCTGGCGTTTTTCTCTGAGCATCGTGTTTTAACACGGCGGGTCAACAAAACACGTCTCTCGAGAACACCGTTCAGTTCCGTTGCGCTCAGTCCTTGTGAGCGCGTTAATGTGCATGATTGGATAGCCTAGGGTGAAGTCAGGTAAAGTGGGACAATTTTTGGTAAATTGCATTTTAAACAATCAGTTAGAATGTTGTAAAATTGTATGTGTTTTGTTTAAATAGATTGTAATGAAGGCCACTATGGTGAAATTTTCCCAATTTATGTATTTATTAACAAACTGTTCATCTTTAAACACCATCTGGCACCCTCTTCACCAAACTGGAAGCAATCAGGTTGACTGGGACACTTTGTTAGGGAAAGTGGGACACTATTTTATGGTTAAAATGAACATGAGAAATACAACCCCAATTCCAATTAAGTGTTCCCTGAACTGTTTGTAGGGGAGGAACGGCAGCTTTTTGGGGCGGACACCAGCAGGCTTATGCACTTTGGTTGTTTTTGGTTTCTTTTTGTCTGCTTAAAAAAACAGGGATGCCATTAATTTTGGCGTACTGGAACGCAATACTCCGTATATCACTGCGTTCCAGAGGGAACCCCCTTTCAGCTAATAGTTTAACAAGGCTTGCCAATTCCTTCTCAGCCTGAGCTGAGGGCAGGGGCAGGGGCGATTCTAGGATTTTTTCAACTGGGGGGCACAAGAGGGGCCACAATTATTACAGAGGGGCCATTCGTATGTTGTGTATTTATGTAGAACTGTAGATATCCAAATCATTTCAAGTTCAGTAAGCTTTAAAATCAGCAATAAACAGTGATACCCTATTATCTTTTAATAGCAGTTATTCACTGCTCAAAATCAAAACAATAAAATACAATTTATATTAACTTTTCACTTTACAAAAGTGAAAGAAAAACTGTAATAAATAAAATAATCCAATGTATTAGTGTACAACTCACAAATAATAATAAAACAGCCTTATTTATATAAATGCATAATTATATTAATCATTCATATAATAATTACACAATTAATGAATTCATATAACTGTAATAAAAATTTAATAAATCTTTTTTAAATCCTTGATTATGCGGCGATGGAATATGCAGGATATTTATGCAATTTTATGTGATGAAATTGCGGGAACTTGCAAAAACTGCGGTTTGATGAAAAAGAGAGAAAAAGTGATTCCCTAACACCCTGTTCTCACTAGGCTACTATCTTAATGTAAAGAGCTATTTCTTATTACTTCCTATGATAAGCAAGCATACTACATCACAGAAAGTGCTGGAATATTTCATTTTGTTTTATTTCAGACCTTAATAAACACATGGCTCAAACTTACAAAACACTGATGAGTCAAACAAGTTCTGTAGCTTTACAAAGGGAATATGCTACAACTTCTGTAAAAATGAATAAATAAAATATGAAAAAATGTTTCCTGTTTTACAGCTTTTCAATGATGTTCATGTCGCGTAATTACGTCACTTCATAACGTTCCCATGGCAACAGGGGGAAATGGCTGCTCTTGTGTGAAGTAAACGCAACATTTTTCAACTTTCTGCTAAGATATATGTGACTTTCTTTTTTGCAACAAAAATGCGGGGATTATGAAATCACACAAGCCCCGCATATTTTGCGTAGAAATCGGCAATTTATACGGCAAAAGTGCGGCGTATTTGAAAAAATGCCCCCGCAAGGGCCCGCATAAATGACTTTGGCTGATTATGCATTGAATCATGCGATCGCATAATCGCGTTTTTCTGGAGGGACTGAAAGGTGATGTTCATAATAATAAATTCTAGATGGAATAGCAATTGGCATTTTACAGCACCCTAAGTGCCAATTTTGGGAACATGCCATGATAGCTTACAGCAACCTATTTTTGTGAAATCATACTCGAAATAAAAAAAATATTGCAGGACTTGGGACTTTCAGACAACTGTGGACATCTATACTTTATTTTTATGAAATAAAGATATTTTATGATATTTACAATATTTCAGTTAAACTGCACTTGAAAAATAACTTTTATCTTACTTCTTAACAGTTGAACAAAACAAAGTGTTCAATGAGTAGTATACAGATTACATCTAGCCTACAGTAATTTTATAGGCTACAACAGACATTTTATAAAAATATATCAATAAAACCTAAATCAATGTATTCGGTATTGGACATCAATTTAACATTGACATTAGATGTTGAATTTACATTGAATTTTGGTCACCCGACGTCGCAACTAAAATTTAACCAAATATCAACGTCTTATGACGTTGTGTGCCTGCTGGGAATAATCTGTTATGTCTCATTTAACAGACGCTTTTATCCAAAGCAACAAGTAAGAGAGCATTTAACACACACTCGACACAATCCGGCGCGACGAGGTCCATACTGTTGTCTTACACGTCTTACTGCGTTACAGGAGTAGGTTAAATCATAATAAGGAAACTTTACGTATGATTCATGTCATCGCGACATACTGTAACACATTATACTTACAGTGTGTGTCAAAACAATGATGTAATCGTCCTCTGCTTTTTTTCTGGGGTGCATGCATGGAATACATTAGACGGCCAAACTGCAACTAAACGAACACGAAAATTCGCAAGAGCAACAAATTTGAAGCACATGGCAGACGCGCCCAATAGATGCTTCGCGCTGTGATTGGCTGAATGTTAGTTCACTCAAGTCTAAGTAACAAATCAGAGAACACGGGCGGAAATATTGGCGCTGGGTCAAAAAAAAATGAAAAAGAAATAGAAAAAGCTCTAGCTTGCTATTCTTGGTCCTCCTTGAGAAGCATCGCGACGCGGAATCATGAATTATTCTACTACAAACTGAAAGATTATGATTTGAATTTTTGAATGACAGACAAGTAGAAGGGTGGGGGCACACCGGGGGGCCAATCAGTTTTCAGGAGGGGCCAGTGCCCCCATGGCCCCTCCCCTGTCTACGCCACTGGGCAGGGGGCTCTTACCTGAGGCATGGCGGTAGCCACTCACCAGCCCTTTCACTTGCCGTTACAGTGTTGATTTTGGGATGTTCCATGCCCTGGCTAAAAACCTTAATTTTGGTTTGTGTCCTTCAGTCACCTCCTGCTCATATTCTTCAATAGCCCCCGCCATTCTCTCTTCACTCCACTGGTTTAGTTTTCTTCCTTTCCTACTTTGCTGTCTTTTCCTTTTCTGTATTGCCCTGTTCTGTCCTGTATCGGTTTCTTCTGTCTCTCTCTGACTGTCCCTCTCCTCTCTGTATGGGTGCTATCTTGTGTATTGAAGTTACCAACCTAAAATTTTATATTCAGACACATTATTATTACTTATACCTTTAAAATGTTATCTTTTGTTCATGAAATGGCTGCACTGTGTTTGATAGCATTAGCCCTAAAAACTGTCCCACTCAACCTGAAATGCACTGTCCCACTCAACCTAACACTGTCAGGTTGAGTGGGACAGTGCTGTGAATCTAATTTTCATAAATATTTTTAACAGTTAGATGCTCATTGTTATTAATCTCCAATACACAGATAGTATAAATGTCTGTAAAAGCAAAAGTGTTATTGATACATCATAAGTG